ACGCTATTCTCAGAGTTTTATTTGCAAATAAGGCTATATTACATAAATCTACGAGAATGGATGAAAATTGATAAAATGTATAAGTACCAGCTCCTAAATCTGACTCATAAGGTTCTTTATTCAAAAACACCGTCAAGTTTAGTAAACAAAATCATACGTAGAGGGAATATGCATCGTATTAATATTAGATATAGAGAGACTTTTTCAATTCCACGCCACAGCACGTCTCTATTTCAAAATACATACATTTACAATGCGATGAAATCATATAATTCTTTAGACCCCAGTTTAAAAAAAACCAATCCATTATCCAAATTCAAGAAAAAAATTAAAGAAGTTCTTCTTGATCAGCAGCGAAATCGGTTGTAACCCGTAAGTGTCCTCATATTTTCCTTATGTATTTACTTGGATTATGCTTTATTCTGTCGTTATTGTATACAGGTGCCTATTAATTTTCAACAAATTCTTTTTTTTTACTTCTCGTATTGTTAAGGGGGTTAGATGGTAGAATAGATATAAAGGGTTGTCCAATAGGGACGCAGGAAAGTAAACGTCAATTTGACATAGACGCCATCTTTGTTTTCTGTCACCGACATGTCATTTTGTTAGTTGAATGTTTACCATTGATCGCTATGGAGTCGTATTCGATTGAAATTGAAAGTTATTCAAGAGCACTACAAAAATGGTGCAAAAATAAAAAACATGTTTCGCGCGCTTCGTGAACATTTCGGTCGCAACAACCGCCCAAACGAAACAACCATCGGTCGTCTGGTGCGTAAATTCGAGGCAACAGGTTCTGTGGCAAATCTGCCAGGCTCTGACCGGCCAAGGAGCGTTCGCACACCGGAAAATATTGCTGTTGTGAAGGAGAGTGTGAGAGACGATCCGAAACAATCAACAACGCGTCGATCCCAAGAATTGGGCATTTCGAGAACCAGTTTGCTCCGCATTCTCCACAAGGATTTGAATGTACACGCCTACAACATCCAATTGACGCAAGAGCTGCGTCAGGCCGACCCTTTTTCGCGCCGAACGTTCTCAGATTGGCTCCTTGAACACCGCCAAATTGATGCCAATTTTTCATCAAAAATCATGTTCAGCGACGAAGCGCATTTCACTTTGAATGGGACGGTAAACAAGCAAAACTGCCGCATCTGGGCGAACGAAAATCCCCGTGAGTATCAAGAGCAGCCGATGCATCCTCAAAAAGTGACTGTGTGGTATGCATTGTGGTCAAAAGGCATCATCGGACCTTACTTTTTCGAAAATGCGGCCGGGGACGCCGTTACCGTCAATTCTGAGCGATATCTCGTGATGATAGAGGACTATTTTTTGCCGCAACTTGAAGGAATGGATATGGACGATGTTTATTTCCAACAAGACGGTGCAACATGCCACACAACCAACGTCAATATCCATCGATTGCAGTCCTTCTTCGGTGATCGCGTGATTTCGCGCAGAGGAAATGTGCCATGGCCACCAAGATCGTGCGATTTGACTCCCTTGGACTTCTTTTTATGGGGATATTTGAAAAGCAAAGTCTACGTCAACAAACCAGCCACCCTCCAAGAACTCAAAAACAACATCATTGCCGAGATAAATGCCATAGAACCGACCATGTTGCAAAATGTCATTGAAAATTTCGACCATCGCGTGGACGTCTGTAAATCCAGTCGTGGTGAACATATGAGCGATATTATTTTTCATACATAAATGGTATAAATGAACCTTCAAAATAAAGTACCCAACTTGATTTGAATAACAATTTTTCTTGTTTTAATATGCGTTTACTTTCCTGCGTCCGTTTTGGACAACCCCGTATAATCTAAATCTCGCCTCCTGTAAGAATATTACAAACAAAAGACGTTAATTATTACTATTATTATTCACATGATACGGGTATCAAATGGAAGGTATTGACTTGCAGACTGGGTAGTTTTTAGGGAGCAAGCAGTCATTCCACCTTTGCTCACTAGGATCGTTGTGAACGTCCATCTATGGAGGAATCACTCAACTAAGCTACAAGCATTATTGGTTGCATAGTTTTGTGAGGCTGAGTGATCCGTGTCTGTAATTTTTATCTCTAAGAAAGTTGGTTGAATAGCAAGATCGCATCTGGATGATTATGTGTATTGGTCTGCATATGTGTATGAAATCAGTGAGAAAATCATTACTGAATATGCTGAATATGACGGGTTATTTATAAGTTGTGCTTTCTGAAGAGAGGTTATCTTCAAAGTGATAAATTACGAAAAACTGAGGAGAATTATGGGAAATCATCACCGCGCCCGCGTTACTGTTAGCATGTATATGGCTTGTACTTCAACAGTGTACAGTGAATACTTATGATTATTTCTGATCTCTCTCATTTTTGAAATTCAGCAAATTTATATATGTAATTTCCAGAATGTATAAGAAAAAGTGGGTGGGCAACTAATTTCTAGCTTTGAATCTCGATTAAGTGTATTTGAGACAAGAACCCAATGTAATTATCATCAACACATACAACTTACAGCTTAGACCTCCAGTAATGCCATCTCAGACGCAGATTTTACATCACATCAGAGCCAAAGATTGATACCAAGTCTCATGACGTTTAGGCAACACGTACAACTAAGTGCTCAGTTAAAGTCTTGTAGAAAAACATACATAATGTCAAAAAAAACAGCATAATGTCAGAAAAAATCGGCATAATGTCACTTTTCAACATACGTGATATCCGTGCGGACCTCCACAGAACCCAGATGCCCCCTAGTTAAGGCCACAGGCTAGTCGACACTTTTTTAAATAGGTCATACATAGTTAATATTCAAAATTAATACTATATTTTTTCCAGACCGTAAAGCTTTAGTTTAAGAATATATTTTTCTTGGACAGACGAAAACGCTGTCCGCCATATTTAGCCCATATATTAATATACTCTGACGTCATATCATTTGTAAACAACAGCATAACCTCTCCAACTTTTAAACATATCAACATGACTTTTACTAGTTTACATGAAACCTAGAATATAAAAGAATCTCATACGAGGTCTGCAAATTAAGTAATGAGATTGATTTTTTATTTTTTTTTGTATTCAAATATAATTACAAATTTAGATTGTCACCCTAAAAATAACTTGTCCCTTGCGGTGATTTTTCAACTTCGGAAAGAGAAAATAGTTGCAAGGTGAATACGGAGGCTGAAGAGCCACAGGACTGTTTTTACTGGCCATCTCCCGTAAGAAAAGTGCGGGGTTCTTTACAAAAACATATCAAAATAACAGATTTATGGAAACTTCTCAAAATAATCTGATGCGTTTCTGTGTAAAAAAACAGGCGCACTCATAAAAAAGATAATTTTTGATGTTTCCTCCCACTGTCATGTTCTAGGCAAAATGAAGCAAAATGTGTTAGTTGATACGGCAAATATGAACCGAAAAATTGTGTTTTCTTTGAAATTGGCCAGTTTAATCCGTTTGCTAAGCATTTGTGTGCAAAAAATCGCGCATCAAGCTGTTAGTATAATTATACTGATTGGGGTTCATGCTGGCATGCAAAACGTAGAAAATGGATATTGTGCAATACAGGGTGTCCGCAAAGTTCGGGTTTTCCTTTACACGACGTGTAGATCTTGAAAACATAAGCAATTTTTCTTAGTACCATATACACCAATGTCTTAAGGGAACCGAGATAAAGGGCTCTGCAACATCAAAAATATCTGAATACCCCTGTAGCCGCGACCCCCGACATCACCGAGTGGTACAAGGTCACTGGCTCAACCCGACGACAGAACTGGGTCGGGGTCAGTGTGTCAGGTCAGTATGCAATCTTCAACCGACGGTTACGGTCACGCGTGTAGAGGTAATCGCGTAGACGAGAATCCCTCAACAAGCACTAGAGACGTGGCTAGAGAAGTGCAAGTATCAAAAACTAAAGTGTGGCAAACGCTGCGTGAAGAGGGGCTGTATCCGTTTCACGTCCAACGTGTACAAGCCCTTCAACCTGACGATTTTCCAGCAAGAGTGCGGTTTTGTGAGTCGTTGTTGCATCAACATGACAATAATCCGGACTTTTTGAAGTGCATATTGGTGACAGACGAATCTACGTTCACGCGTAATGGGGTGAATAACTTTCGCAACACTCATGTTTGGTCAGTAGAAAATCCGCACGCTGTCCGTCGGGCACATTTTCAACAAACATTTTCGATAAATGTTTGGGCTGGCATGGTGAACGGTATGCTCATTGTACCATTGATTCTCCCAAATCGATTGGACGGGATGCAATACCTAGACTTTATACGCAACATTTTGCCTTCCTTGTTAGAACATGTGCCATTAAGTGTAAGACAATCAATGTGGTTTCTGCGTCTGCTCGGTAGCGCATCAGCTGATTTCATTTTCTGTTGGAGCGGTATGATTTCGGGCAGAGACGTACTTAGCCCTTCTCGTCAACTGGAGAGTGAGTACTTTTTCCTTTATTTTTTTTTACTTGGTCGCCCTCGTTTCACTACACATTACCTTTGTTATTTCAAGGGTAGCTGTTTCTGAAAAGGAAAACCCAACTTTGCGGACACCCTGTATATACAGGATGTAGGCGTGGTTAGAGCTTTTGCAATGAAAGAGAAGAGAACATCACTCTGCATAACTTACTATTTAAAACTGAAACCGATACCTTCATAGCATTTCAAAACCTCACACTATGTTTTCCTGAAGTAAATTATTTAACAGGTAAAGTTAAACATACTGAGAGTAAAATAAAAAATAAAATGGATTTGATTTGATCGGTTTTGTTCAAAAGTGAATCAGTATGAGCTGATTGGGCAAAATCAACTTATTCTCACACATTAATACAAGCAACAAAAAGATAAATCTTTTATAATTTGAATAAAAAAAAAATAATAACTACGCTGAAGAGTTAACCGCAAAAAAACAAACTGCCTTTTATGGTCGATGTGAGTGATTAAATGAATTCAAATTCCATTATTGACAAAAATGATAAATTGAAGAGCCAGCTTACCTGTATGCTACATCAGGTGACCAACCCATATCTCCATCATCATCGATGTCCAATTCTGAGTGCAACTTTCTGGTGTCCAAATCTTCATAATTTTCCTCTTCCATAGTGGATTCTAATTGACTAGATTCATTTTGAGTCGTCTTCGGTCCCACCTTATCAGGCTCTCCATTTACCTCTGGATTACTGAAACAGAAAAAAATTGTCAGTCTGAATTACAACATGCACACAACATGTAACTAAAAATTAGCTTATTGGCCGTTTCCTAACTGAATGTCAATATTTAGGGGACGATTTTCGGGGCCATTTGTACTGTAGCATCTTCGTATAACTGGAACTCTGGGTGCCCTCGAACATCGACCAGAAGACCGGACGACAGGGGCCCAGAAACGTCGACGTTTAGGCAACCAGAGTTACCCGGCTGTACGTGAGTGCTCGCGGCCTAATTGAGGAACTTCGGCCGACATCGGGAGCGTTCGAGAAGTATCGATAACCATTCTCGACACATTCGATAGAGCGCGCGAACCTTCTGGAGTCCGTTGAATCCAAAATAAGTACCCAGTCACCTCCACCACGATGCTATTAGTCAAGAAGATAAATTTGTCTTCGCGGTGCCGAAAATTATTAAATCATAAATGGAGGAACACGTCCACCTGATTTTGAATGACGAGGGACAAGATATATGAACCGCACTTGTCATATCAAATGATTGATATTATTGATATATATGTACATTGCACAAAAAAACGATCGGTCTTTTTATTTCAGATTCAAACAAGGCAGCTAAGTGTATCAAGGAGCTCAAAGCAAACATTTTGGGCAACATGCGCCATCTAACTACTCCCGGTGTAACTGAAACTGTCTAAACTTCGAGAGGAAGGGGAAATTCCATCTGTTCCCGCTCCGGTTCACTACGGGATCTCGCAAAAAAATCTCTTATGATTTTGCGAAGTTAGGTTATTTCACTGATTATTTTTATTTTCATCCTATTTCATGGTTTTGAGTGATACCTTAATAATAATTTTAGTGTGGAGTTTTTTTTATGAAAAAAAAAAACAGTTATGAGTAGAATACCTTAAGACAGGAGCACCAAAGACCAAGGTATTATTCGAAAATAATTTCTTTTTCTTTTAATTCTCCAGCATGTAGTCTTTAGTACCATGCGTTTATATACAGGGTGTCCGCAAAGTTGGGGTTTTCCTTTTCAGAAACAACTACCCTTGAAATAACAAAGGTAATGTGCAGTGAAAGGAGGGCGACCAAGTAAAAAAAAAATAAAGAAAAAAAAAGAAAAAAGTACTCACTCTCCAGTTGACGAGAAGGGCTAAGTACGTCTCTTGCCCGAAATCATACCGCTCCAACAGAAAATGAAATCAGCTGATGCGCTACCGAGCAGACGCCGGCGGTGGTGCAGACCAGTAGACAACGAACAGAGGTAACAAATATGACCATCGTGCAGAAACCACATTGATTGTCTTACACTTAATGGTACATCTTATAACAAGGAAGGCAGAATGTTGCGTAAAAAGTCTAGGTATTGCATCCTGTCCAATCGATTTGGGAGAATAAATGGTCCAATGAGCATACCGTTCACCATGCCAGCCCAAACATTCACCGAAAATGTTTGTTGAAAATGTGCCCGACGGACAGCGTGCGGATTTTCTACTGACCAAACATGAGTGTTGCGAAAGTTATTCACCCCATTACGCGTGTACGTAGATTCGTCTGTCACCAATATGCGCTTCAAAAAGTCCGGATTATTGTCATGTTGATGTAACAACCACTCACAAAACCGCACTATTGCTGGAAAATCGTCAGGTTGAAGGGCTTGTACACGTTGGACGTGAAACGGATACAGCCCCTCTTCACGCAGCGTTTGCCACACTTTAGTTTTTGATACTTGCACTTCTCTAGCCACGTCTCTAGTGCTTGTTGTTTTTTGAAACGCAATCGATTGATTACACGGGTTCGTTTACCTCTACACGCGTGACCGTAACAGTCGGTTGAAGGTTGCATACTGACCTGACACACTGACCCCGACCCCCGACCCAGTTCTGTCGTCGGGTTGAGCTAGTGTCCTAGTACCAGTTGGGGATATCTCGGTTTGCTTAAGACATTGGTGTATATGGTACTAAGAAAAATTGCTTATGATTTCAAGATCTACACGTCGTCTAAAGTAAAACCCCAACTTTGCGGACACCCTGTATATTATAATTAAAAGACGTAATCTTCACGTCCGGCAACTGACGTATATTGACGTCTGCCTTACGACGTCATTGGTATGTGGCATTAATCAAATCCAAGCAAATAACACAGGGGTTGATGACATCAGTTACTCGAATCGCTTGAACGCATTGGTTTTAATCGCGGTTTTGATACATTGTAGAAAAGCTCGTATATAATTTCTGATTATTTTAATTACCACTTAATAATCGGTGCATTTCGTCTACAACGGCGTATGGTAAGTTTAAAAAGGAAACCTCTCATAATATTAATTGGAGACATGTTTTTTCAGAAAAAAAATTATTTAATGATCGAACCATGGCTTGTAGCTAGGATAACTTTCAATTCTCTAAACTTTTCCGCATGTCAAACAAAACATTTATTGATTTAGCAGATAAAGCGATAAAAAAAGATATTAGCAAAAACCATTTTCAGATGGACGTCATCCAATGAGTTCATATGGGTATATTTTGATATTCTTGTAATATATGGCTACACAGGCTACTTTGTTAAGCATAGGAACTAGATTTAAAGTGTCCCCAACAACAGTAATGATTATAACTAATAAGGTGCTTCACTTTATGCTAAAACTGAAGTCAGCCTGTGTATCAAGTTTTCCAAAAATAAAGCTGAAGTACAATAAAAATATCCAATACCCGGCAAAATTCTAACTTGTCACAGTTCAAATAATAACCAGAAATATAAAACTACCCCTGAGTTGGGTAAATACCACAGCTTTGCGGTGATAACTATGACATATAACAGCTGATTCATGACGTCACGGATCTTAAATACCATTTTCATTTGGTTATTCACTTGAATTTGATTATTAGGAAGTCATTTTCAGGTTACTTGTATGTCATTCAACTTGTGAGTTCTCGTCATTTCATGACCAGTTTGTAACATCATTTACACCTGGTTGTGCTACCTGGGTGCTCGTATTGTTTTCAAATTAAGGCAACGTTTTTGCTTAAAAAAATAAAATGCATGATCCTGACAAAATATTGTTAACATGACAATATCACTATGCAGAGAAATAAATTTTATTTTTTTTTAGGTTAAAAACCGTACTAAAAAAATCAAGAGATCAAATCTATGTAGAAATGGTTACCGATCTATTTTTGAAAACTTGACCACCCTGTATTTCAAAAGTTGAGAATATCTAGGACATATACATTCATGTGAAGTTTTCTTCTTAGACCTAAAAATTGCATCTCCTCAAATATCGACATTCAATTATTAAACATGTATGTATAATAGCAAATGTATTCATTTTACCTCTTTATTTTTTCCTTGGTAGTATCTCCACTTGTACAGGTTGTATCAGCATTTGCTCCTACCACAAATCGTTCTAGTTTGATTTGTTCTCCATTGACCTGAAGCACTTCCACACTTGCATCCATAGGCAAGACAGGTGCATCAACATTGTCAAACTTTTCAAAAATATTTTCATGTTTTTTTCTGAAAGAATTTCGATTGTTATAAAAATAATTACAATTAACTTTCTACATATAGATTACTAAATTAATGAAATTAGAAAATATTACCTGTTCAAATCGATATCAAATTTTGTGAATGGTTTCGTATCTTTTCTTTTTCGTATTTCCATTTTGGCAACTCGGCCCCAAGCACAGATTATTCTCAACTCTTCCTTATTTATTCGCAATTATATTTGTGAACAGTACTGGTTCACTATTTCTACTACATTTGCCTGACTTGTTTTCGGCATTCGGAAATTCTTACCCCCAATTGTTCTCCTTAGGGTCACGTCTTATTGACATAAAACATATTGTTGTGCAGGTAAAAAATTCCTAGTTTCCAGGGGACAGGAGCGCTTTTACCCCTCATCAAAACAGGTAAACGCTCCTCACGTTTTCGTACCTCCGAACCACAATTCAAATGTCATCAAGTTGACATGGTACTGCGCCAAGAAGCAAGAAGCAGTGTTGCCAGACGAATTCTGCTAAAAATCCCTAACATTCTATTTTTTTCCCCTAGAATTCCCTAGATTTTTATTTTCTAAGTCTACCCTCTTTTTTCTGTCTACTCACCACCCCCAATTTTTTCTGTATTACATATTGAATTCATAATATGGTTTAAAAAAATATATTAAAAATTACATTTAAAAATAAAACTTTATTAGATTAAAAAACGGAATTTTCTTAATTATCTAACTTAAAATAATACATTACTTGCCACTAATCTTTTGAGTACAAATTTTTTTGGCTCATTAGTTTAAGATGCTCACTAGTTACTTTAAATGACTGGCAGCAATTATCAGACGAAAATCTTGTAACACATACGGCATTTAATGATTCACTTCCTATTTTGTTTCTTTTTTTTGTTTTCGTAGAGGGTTGATCCCTACGATTTTAAAAATATATCAGCTATTGATTACTTATAATATATTATGCAACTTACATTTGATCAGAATTTTCTGCTGTATCGGACTCCATCATCACAAAACTAAACTTAAAAACTTTGAACAAAGATTCTCTCAAAAACTTTAATATTGAACTGGGTATGCGTAATACAGTCGTCGGTGGCGGCAGGTGGCGGAGAACTTATCGGTGATTCACACAGAAGATGTACAGTACAACCAACCTTATAATTAGCAAAGCTGTATACTGTTTTATTTAACAATTATGTTAACAGGGTCCGTTTATGTTTTTGCAATATAGATTGGAATTCAAGTATTCATTAATCTTTTTTTTGAAACGGTAGAAAATCCCTAGAATTTCCCTATTTCCCTAAAAGTCCCTAGAACTAGAAAACATCGTAAATTCTCCCTAGAACTAGGGAGAATTCCCTAGAAATGGCACCACTGGCAAGAAGCAGGCAGTTCTTGAACCACCTTATTGGTCACGCAATGTTCATGAGACATACAGTTCCGATCGGTGAATGGTACCATGAAAAGAACACCCTTATTTTGACAGGCAAATAGTGAAAGGAGTAGCTAATCACGTGGGACTGCATTGCTGTTAAGCCACGCCTCATTTTCCATTCCACCAATGGAATCTGTTTCATCGTTCAAACATGAATCATACGAACAGCGTATTCGTTTATGTCTAGCAGATGGCACTAGTGTTAAGGTAGATGATTCTGGACAAATGTGTAGACTAATGATCACATTTTCAAACAGTATGTGTGTTGCCATATTTATATTAATATTTTAATGTAGTAAAGTTTTAAAGAATATAATAATTATAATCTAATTATTAACTAGCAAAATATGCTTGTATCTTCCCTAGGGTTTTAAATGACATAAATTACAGTTAATATCATCATCAAAATTAAAAATTATTCAACTTATAGTGGCTACACGAACGTGATACCCCACTTTACATCTAGGCCTCTGACAGGAGTTATGCTAAGCGGATCTGGCAACAGTGGCAATTTTGTAGAACTTATTACATGAATATGACATGACATGGCGGGAAATTGATACTGTCTGATAAGGTGAAGTTTTGTAAATGAAATGATCCGAAAACTACACGTATATATTATTTGAAGAACCTTACAGCCTCAAATCATGGTACAAATAAACAATTCTCGATCAACGCGTAGACATTTTCTACTGCCACTTGTTGGAAATCGATCAGGGCTATCTAAATGAGTCTAAGGACATGGGACTCTTAGACGGGTCTATTTCTGATGAACGGTATATGGAAAAACAAAATCTTGTTTGGAAAAATTAATCGAAACTTTTTGAACACCAGTTGCACTTCATTGAACTGTTTAACATTATGTCAGAATATTGTGATAGCCACCATTCAAAGGTCTTCACGTTGTCATGTTACCACCCACAAAACGCATAAGACTAAGTACCACCAAGAAGCAAGAGGGGGGCCACTTCTTGTACCACCTTTTGGGTCACGTGATTTTGATGAGACAACAGTTCCGGTCCGTGAATGGTACCATGAAAGGAACATCCTTTTTTGAGAGGCAAATACTGAAAGTAATAGCTAATCACGTGGGTCTGCAGCGACTGTTAAACCACGCCCCATTTCTCATTCCACCAATGATAAATCATACGGACCACGTATTCGTTTATGTATAACAGATGGCTCTGGTGTTAAGATAGATGATTCTAGACAAATGTGTATACTAATGATCACATTTTTTGAAAACAGTGTGTGGTGCCATATTTATATGAAGTAAAGTTTTAAAGAATAGAATAATTATATATCTAATTATTAGCTAGCTAAATATACATGTTATCTTCCCTCGGGTTTTGAAATGAAAGACAGTTTCATTATAAGGGTTTATCACTTTTATTACGATAACAAGTTACAAATTCGAATTAAAACGATTTAACAGTTATATTCGTAAAAATATATAAGTATAGAAATTTCGGAAATTTCACGTGTATGTATAATATTTACACAATTAGAAAAAATGTTACGACGTTTCAATTATGCATGTGTGTATGGACTAGGTCTCTTGAAAAACTTTAATTCGTACCTTATATTTATTTACAACAGCTACAATAACAAGGTTTTCTTTTCATTGGTCCAACAAATCACTGAAATATAAAATTAGCGAATTGAAAATACATACAAAACCGCTACCGTGTAAGCAAAAATATTTCATACATTAAGTAGATATCCAACAAATGGCAGTTTTGTGTATTTTTCATAGCCATAGCCATTTTAACTTATTTTTGTTATGATTTAAATAACTATAACTATAATTTTCTAATTACACGAATTTTTGACTAAATAAAAATGATTTAATTTAGCATGAAAAAAAAGCATGAAAATCTTGTTTACACGCATCATTCAACTCAAAAATTATGAAACTTACTTTACATCAAGGCCTTTATCAGGAGATAAGATAAATAGATCTGGCAACATTGGCAACTCTGTAGAACTATTTATGACGTATATGACATGGCGGGAAATTGACACTGACTGGTAAGGTGAAGTTTTGTTAAGTGAAGGGATTTGAAAACTAAACGTATATTTTATTTGAAGAACCCTTTCAGCCTCAAATCTTGGTATAGGTAAATAATCATCGGGCAACGCGTAGATATTTTTTACTGCCATTTGTTGGAAATCGATCAGGGCTATCTAGATGAGTCTAAGAACATGGGAAAGGTCTATTTCTGATGAACGCTATATGGAAAAACAGACACTATAAGTCTGTCGTGAACTGTACAATAAGTGTCGAGGAATAACTGATGTGTGCTACTTCGTACAATCGCCTTTGTAGTCCACATACCTGTTTTAACCATCACTGTATTTTTTTTTACTTCAGACGACAAAGTCTGAGTGAGAAGATGAATTGGGAATGTACGAAACCAAACCGAACAAAATGCGAAAAGTCAATCCTGGCAAAATTCTATCCACCATCATATTTTTAGGATTAGGTATCACAAGGAATATAACGTATTATGCGTTTATCCATTCAACACGAAAATGGACATATAAATTTATTCACTATACGACTAGGTATTTATTCTTTCACGAAATACATAATTCTTTTTGCATAGTCCGATCTCACATGATTTTATTTTCAGAAATGTATCGAGGCATATTTTGAAAACATGCAGAGGATTATTAAAAAAAAAATAGGACAGAAAGTGCGTTTGAAAATCATATAAAAGTTGCTACAAATATCGAAATATGGTCCTTAAAATCACTCTTCGTCAAGATACAGCATGTTGTAAATTTCTTTGTCATTGAGGTTAGGGCATGAGTGCGGAAAATCTGACGATCGCCGCCTACCAAAACCAGCCAAGCTGATTTTAATCCTCATCCAGGGTTGCCATATTGGGGGACTTTTACGCCGCTTGGGGAATTTGTGGAGGATAAAATGTTCTGGGGGAAAAATCGATGGGTATTTTTGGGGTATTTTAATGACAGAATTTGTCTGTTAATTGCTCTTGCAATCAAAGCTTGACTGCTTCCCCGAATTTCGTCGTACATGTTTTCAAAATACACCAACATCTGTATCACAAACGGCGGATTTCTTATCAGTACTATACGTTCAGATCCGCCATCATTTTCCTGAAATCGGCTAGCGAGTTGTAGTCAGGATCGAAGTCTATGTCGGCAAAGTCCCTCCTTGAATCAGCTTTGGTGCAGTTGGGATGGTACCTGCTCAGCGAGAGGGGACAGGGCAACAGTTCGGGCATCACCGAGTGGTGGATGATCAGTGACGTCAGCGAGGTGAACTCCTTTGTGAAACCCTGCAATAGATGTGTTAATTAGGCGAGATGAATTACGCTTGATACATGCTAGGGTGTCTTCAAAGTTGGAGGTTTGCTTTACAGGGCCTATAGATCTTGAAATTAATCAAACCTAATCCGGTCCTGCACCTTGATCAGTTCAGATATGTAAACAAAACCTTGACTCATCGGTTCTAAAAAAATAATGGTCCACTTTTACATCAATATCGGAATTGTACATATTATTTTAATTTACGGTGAGTACCTTCGAAACGCTACCGAGGCTTCACGAGTGCATGCAGATCGTTTTTCAAGAAACTTCGTGGTTTCTTTTGCTGTTTGGGGCAAAATGAAATGTTTAGCGAATAAAACAGAGGTGAACAAGGTTGACGTGTGCAAATTTAACAACCTGAAAAGGAAAGTCCCAACTTTCAGGACGATTATATATATATACTATATTATAAAATATAGTATAAAGTAAGTAAATAAGTAAGAAGACTCCCAGCGTTGTATGGGGTATTGTCAGCTCGGCTCCATATTCAGGGTTACGATATAAGATATCCTCCTACTGGCAAATAGTAAAATCTGCAAATATGGCGACTGCTATGGATATTAAAATTCAGAGAAATTTAAAACTATTGATATTCCGGGCAGGCATGCATTCCTGGCAAATCTTCCTCAATTACTGGCAAAACGGCAACACTGGCTATATAAAACTGAACGTTTGTCAATTGTCACCGCCTCTGGGGATCGCCTTCTAGATCGATGCGAAGTGATCTCCAAGATGTCGCTTTGTGGTACACGCGGGCTTTCTCGAAGCAGCAATTGGGACTATATATAACTCGGCGGCCGCGAGATGGAGGAGAGTACTCAATACGGTTAGAGTAGCAGAGCGGAGTGTAGTATAGTGCAGTCAATGGTGACATAAGAATTAGTCAGACATACATAGTGGACCAAGAAAAACGCTACAGTATCATGTGTGCTGGTCATCTGTTTAACCTACTCCAGCCATAACCTATGATAATTTACACACGAAAAAAGTATTGCAAAAATTACCTTAATTTTATATCCTTTGTTAGCCCTGATGATGAGATAATGTGCTATCCCTGTTGGTTGAAAACTTCTTGGAACCCGTAAGCTCAGGGCAAAACATCCAGGTTTGCTCGTACTGTCTCGTACCATAAAGGAACCCACTGGCTCTTGGGCTAGTATTTCCAAGGCAATCTACAAAAAATTGCACAATTTTAGATTCAAATAATTAGTCGTTAAAGGTCATTTTTTATAATTTCCGTCGAGCTTAAGTACGAGAACTGAACGTGACTTGGTGCTGTTTTTTCCTGTGCTCTCGTGTAGCAGTTCAGCGGCCACCACCTTCGTTAGTGAAACAATTTCACACCCAGTGCTGGGATTTGCCGGGTTGTGGAAATTTTGATAGAAATCGGCCTTTATTGGTGAATTTTGTTGTCGGGGCCCCTTTCTCACCCTCTTGGGGATTTAGTCGTTGTTGCAGCTACACCTGAACCATCGAGCTGAGGGAAACTGTGCATTAACACTCAGAAACGAGACTGGAAAATGTGATAACACATTTTTTCGAAAAAATCTACATGTCATTAAAAATCGATATTTTGTCACAAATTACGTAAAGCGGGAGCCGATTTACTTTATGTGACCTGAAGTATAATGTTTTACTCACTTCTCTCGGTATGCCCGCCTGAAACCAAGGTGCAAGCCTCAGTTCCCCTTCTTCTTTGTTATTTAAGGAATCCGTACGTTCTGGTAAAGGAGGGGGAGGAGGAATTACCCCCGTTGATGGCACGTTCGCATTTGTAGGGGTGAATTCTTGATGGTTCGCTGAAAAAATAAATTGTCAAAATAATTGCTCATAATAGAATCAATACAGAGCTGTTAATTTGTAGAGGTAACACAAAAATTGAAAAAAAAACTATAATAATTATAAAAAAGAATTTTTGGAACGACCTGAAGCAAAGGTTCTGATTTTGAAAGACAAGTAAGATTAAGAAGTAAGAATATCATTAATTGCTTACCTGACTGTGCAGAACTAGAGCTACTGGAACTAATTTGTGATATCCTCTTCATTTTAAACTCCCTTTCGTTTTTGAGCGTTAACAGCGTATTATTTATTTCTAAGTTTTTCGTTAAATTCGAATGGTTTTCTACTAATTCGTTTTTCAGACTATCTATTGTGCTATTTGACTTATTCTTTGATTCTTCAGTTTCGTTGACGTATCCACCGGACAAAGGTCTTGTTGTCGGACTTCCTGAAACAAAATTAACTTACTTTATATCACTGGCGTTCCAGAAAATGTTCTGGGTTAATTGAGATTGAGCTCCAAAGCCCACCTGAATATGCAAGTGCTTTAAATTCTTAGTTTTCGATTGAAAGGATTCCATGTAGAACTGTTCACACCATACGGCAAAATTCAAACAAAACATCTTATTTAAGAAGTACACATCACAAATTATTGTTGCTTTAAAATGATTGATATCGCTAGGTAGGTTTGCTTTGTTGATTCCAAGGTCAACTCACCTGGCGTACTCGAAGCACTATCACAGACCAGCGGATAACTGTCATCGTCGCTATGGTTGCTATTCCCCGTCAATCCCATGGCTATCCTCTTGATCAGCGGCGGCTTTTCACTCATCTTTTTGTACGAATTCAACTCGGTAGGCGAGTTGCTTTCCTCGCTAGACGGCGTTGACAGCTGCGACGCGGTGCTCCCTCCTTTTACCGAGGGCGGTGCCGTAGCCACTCCTTCTTGCCGGTTGTGGGAGGGGCTTAGCGCGTTGCGGGCGGAGCTAAGACCGTTGTAGGTGGGGCTGACAACGTGGGTGGGGCTTCCTAACACGTTGTATTTAGGTTTGAGGCCTGGCAGGGCAGAGGGAGGCGGAAGGCGTTCATTTGAGGCGGCGTTGGAAGGGGCTAGTTGGATTTCCATGGCTGAGTGATGCGTAGGGGTTAGCGGTTTCTTTAGGGGGGTGTGTTTAGGGGATGAGGTGGCTGAGGATGTGCCTTTGGTGGGCCGCAGGTCTTTTGTCTGGAAGAAAATATGAAATGCTGGGATTAATCAAGTCTTTGTATGAAACTGAGCTATCTAGTCGGAAAGTTGACATTATTTGACATTGCATAATAATCCAGTCGGTCTCTCCTATTTTACTTGCTTAAGATATCATAAGGTTTAAGAATGATTCGCAAAAATACAAAATATTGAACTCACCCAAAGGACTGTGTCTGGCTGACGTCTAGCTTGATGTGAGGCGATCATGGCGTCCTGGAAGCTGTTCTGTTTCTGCAGTTGGGCGGCGTAAGCCATTTTGAAAGCATTTCCCACGATGCTCCTCAGTTCGTCTGCCTGTAATAAAATGGACACAGCTGTTTATGAGTTATCTAAACATCCTGCATATGGAACACCGATTGACGGTGGCGAAGGTAAACATACGAGCTGATACGGGCTTCTAAAGAATCAGCCGCGGCGATAGATGATAATGTTTTTTTTTGTTCTGGTGACGCAGACAAGTTTGTTTAGAAGGAGTAAAGATTTGTTTTCTCAAACTGATAAAAGTGGAAACAATCAACGGTTTTTCAGACTCTTGAATTTTAGGAGTACAATGTCTTCTTTATAAGATCCCAGCTTAAATTTCGAAAATAAAAACAATTTTTGGAGTATAGTAGATTCTTATATACTAAGTGACATATAAATCCGAACACCCAGTTTAAATGGTTTTATTTTAATAAAATTTTGTATAAGTACTTAATGAAGCATAATAAGTAAATGATAAAAATTTCAAAATGATTGCACTGCTTTAAAGCCCTTTGACCTTTAATAATGTGTGGATGCACCCTGATGTGCTACGCATTCCCCAACGCGCCTAGGCATGCTTCTGATCAGGTGGTCAATGTCCTCCTGTGGTATCTCATTCCAGGCAACCACCAACTCCTCTCGAAGTGCTTCTAGAGTCTGAGGAGGACGTTGCAAATTGAGCAATCTCCTACCCATCATATCCCACACGTGCTCAATTGGGGATAAGTCGGGAGATCTTGGTGGCCATGGTAACAATGTGACATCATTATGTTGAAAGAAGTCTATTGTGACTCTTGCAACATGTGGTCGGGCATTATCTTGTTGGAAAGTTGGATCTGCCAGGGTGTCAAGATAGGGTAAAAGATGGGGTTCTAGAACTTCGTGGATATAACGTGTTCATGTTATCTCTGATGAAGATTAAAGGTGACCTGGAACCATAAGCTATAGCACCCCAAACCATAACTCCAACAGTGTGATGAACATGTCTTTCAACAAAAAAACTGTGGATTCCTCCTTCCACCACGTCGCCTTCTAACCCTGGCACGACCATCGTGCATGCCTAAACAAAATCGAGACTCGTCACTAAAGACAATACTGTTTCATTCCTGATCGCAGAGTGACCGTTGTCTGCACCACTCAAGGCGATTACGTCGGTGTTCTCGAGTTAAAGGGAGGACCCAGTGTGGCCGGTATGAAAACAAGCCAAAACTTCTCATTCGTCGGTAAACACTTCGCATGCCAATAGGTCTTCCGTGTTCTGCAAACCATTCATTTGCAATGGACCTGGTAGTGGAGAAACGGTCCCTTAAGGCCAATAATCTTAGGCGGCGATCTTCACGGTCTGTTGTTCTACGGCGGCGTCCAGTGCCCCTTGCTCTTTGCGTACAGCCTTCTCGAAGCCATTCCTGACAACACCTAACCACAGTGTATATATACACTTCTTTGCACTCTAACTGCAATTGCCCGAAAAGAAAATCCAGCTTCCCGAAGTCCCACTATACGGCCCCTATCAAACTCACTAAGTTGACGAAATCGTACAGGTCTCCGTACTCTAGGCATCGTAACCGATCGTAAAGGATGTCAAAAACCAAAATCCGCCAACGTTGATTCTTTACTGCGGCTGAAATATTCATTTTTAGAGCGTTAGTGAATTAAAAAAAAGCAGTATAAAAACCGGAATGTCCAACTGATAAGGCTGAAAACTTTTTCACTTGTTATTTACAGTAAGATAAATACTTTCACCAAGTGAAGCATATTTTGCTATCCTAAAGGTAAGCGATTTTCTAAACGAAAAGCCCTATTGAATACAGGGTGATTCACAACTTCTTTCGTCACAGTGCATATGTGGTTGAAATTTGTGAAACACCCTGTCTATATTACGTATTGATCTAAAACCACTGGACTCCTGTAGAGAAATTTTCCAGTCCCTGGAAAACCTTAATCTGTATTGCACTTACATTTTGGAATGCGTAACCTATGTTGATAAATATAATAGTTTATTTCCAAATACCAATGATTATCACGAGTACAACACAATTAAAATATGAAAATAGTCCAGAAGCATACTGCCACCTATTTCAACAAGTCCTCTTATTACAACTGCGTCATATTATTCAACAATTTACTAGTTAAAATTCAACAAATTTGTAATTACACTTCATTCAAAAAAGAAGTTAAGAAATTATTGTTAAAAAAATCATTTTATAGTGTAACCGTGTACGAACTTGCACTTGAGTACATAAGGATGGTATCAATAATTATTTATTCATTGAAATTAATGTTTACATTTTTATTGATCTTTATTGTTTTGTATTACATTTTTTTACCGCATACACAAATTTTCATGAAGTGGATATGAAGAAAGATAGACTTTCTTCAAGAATATCGATGTAAAACATCGTATAAAATGACCTCGATCGATCGATATTATACTTCGATTTTTTAGAAACATCGATATTTCATTTTTTACCTACGCGACGTCAAGTCAAGTCATCGTTGGTTGTCAGAGCGGTCCGTTGGACCGTAGCTCTTGAGTCACAGTGTCAGTTTGTAAGTCTGTCAGGTCTGATAATCCAGAAACCAGGACAAAAGGGAAGCAAAGGAGAGAAGGAAGAACGAGAGCAACGGGGAAGAAGAGAACCTTTTACGATAGGCAGCGTTTAGGCATCGTTAAAATCACTTCACAGATTTTTATATGGTCTAAAAATATTCGATTTTTTCTAAAGATTTTGTCAAAATACTCCAATTTTGGTTGTTCTAAGTTCTCGAATTAATTTTGATTACAGTGCGAGCCGCGGCCTTTGGTGCTTGCGAACTTGCTCGACTGTGTAGTCCACTAATTCACGCAACAGAGGGTTGCTGTGCGATTCCGCTGCGCCTGTTGCTTAATGTAGTCCTTTAGGTAAGTGACATCGAGGTCTCTATGTAGATTAGAGACATACCATCGAGGTCATTATCAAGATCATAGCTGAGAGAGAACTGCCTTTCCATGGCATCGGCGAAAACCTCAACCTTTTCCTCTGTCCTGAAGACAATACCTCCAGGACGGTGGATGTGTGGGATTTGTTCACGCTCTCCATTTTTTTAGCGACTTCGCCACCTTCCAGAGAGGAATGCTTGAGTCAAGCATCCCCGCCAGAAAGTCGTTCCATTGCTCATTGCCGGATTCATGAAGAGCATTTCTTACTTCATGAACAAGATTCTTCGCTCTGCGAATATCATCAGGATAGAGACCTTTTCGCTTGCTACCTACGCGACGTCTGGATATCGGTTTGTTTTTAATAACCTTTGAAAGACTGTCTGGAAATCAATTTGGGACTCACGCGATGATGTAACTCATAGGTAGAGACGGATTACCCTTAACAAATTTTTATTAATGAATATTTAGAACTATGAATAACAGTGTTCAATAACAATCTGATCATTTTTCAGAGAAAAATATGTTTGATTCTAATAAAACCTGTTGCTTTTGAGAAAAACAGTAATTCTTCAAAACAGTTCCCAGCGTTTCACACTGGAAAATCTACAAGTTGACCCAGTGATCTCAAAATTTATATCCTGGATACTTGTAATCGCTAATTACGAATATTTTATCAGAAACACTACAAAAAATGGCGGAATCAATATTTTAGGACCAGCATTATAGGTGATGAAACTGTACTAAAACATCAACGACCCATTCTATCGATGTCAAGGTCTATGGGAACACACTTTCCAAAAATATCATTTGTGACAACGCGAATTGGGATACAGTACCAATAGACAACTTGCTGTACTGTCTTATTAAGATAGACCTGATACTCTCTTTTTTCGACGTCACTCGTAATCGAACATTTCTGTGCGATCTTAAGCATCCGATCTTTGACCTGCTAAAACAGTAAGCGGCAAGCGACTAGCGGCATCCCGCTAAGAATGTGAAAGTGATTTTTTTCAGTAATCGTCGACCTCGCATCTCCATAAAAGCTATCGCGTACACCACATTATTAGAAGGCAAATAGAAACCATAGGCCAGTCAATCGCTTCAAAAGCGACAACGCATTTATGGTTACTTTTCAACTTGTTTACGTCTCGTATGTACTTGTTTACTTTCGTAGAAAAAAGCAGGTAAAAAGAGGGCCCCGACAGGGTGACGAGACGGAGGAAGCACCGATTCGCATGGTTAACTCATCAGGCGAAGCTTCCTGTTATCAGGAATGTCATTAATTGTCGCATATGTTCCTACCCAGTGAACATAGTGATGTCATAAAGTAGGAATTTTTAGGGCACTACTGATGCACACCGATCAATATGACGTAAAAATGACGTCATTATGACGGTCTAATGTCACACCAAATTGGTGTCATTATATAACGTCATAGAATGTCGTATAAAAGCCCAAATACAAAGTCGATATGACGTCTTTATGACGTGGATATGACGTCTATCTGAGGTCGATGTGACGTCGGTATGACGTACAGTCGCTCGCAAAAATAATCGCTAGGTGTACCCAAATGCTCCTGAAAAATTGAGGATGTGACAACGACGCCCCTCAAGCAGCGAGTTCAGGAGTGGCAAAAAGCCGGTGAAACTCATATTCTACTTACCTAACACTCTTGAACCGGCAATTCTTCAGGAGCATCTGTACAATGTGTAGCGAAATGGTTAATAAAGAACTACAAAACATCATTTGATCTCGAACACGTTCCACTCCTCCGACGATTCAGAATTCGTTGATAGCAATTCATCAGAATCGCTTTGCTTTTCCACAAGATGCCAAAACAGTTCTTGTTTTCTGGATGTCGCCTAAGCCTTATTGACTATATGGCAACACTATCGTCCATACTAAATTGTACCACAATGTACCTCAAACACGACGAAGCCGTCGTGATGTCGGTTTATGAAACAAAATGGACGAACCGTTGTCAAACGGCAAACACGCATGGAGCTTGGACATCGGTTAAGCTCACCGCTAAGCACAATTGAACTTCTTCGCTGATGATCGGCTGAAATATACTAAGTGACATATAAATCCGAACACCCAGTTTAAATGGTTTTATTTTAATAAAATTTTGTATAAGTACTTAATGAAGCATAATAAGTAAATGATAACAATTTCAAAATGATTGCACTGCTTTAAAGCCCTTTGACCTTTAATAATGTGTGGATGCACCCTGATGTGCTACGCATTCTCGAACGCGCCTAGGCATGCTTCTGATCAGGTGGTCAATGTCCTCCTATGGTATCTCATTCCAGGCAATCACCAACTCCTCTCGAAGTGCTTCTAGAGTCTGAGGAGGACGTTGCAAATTGAGCAATCTCCTACCCATCATATCCCACACGTGCTCAATTGGGGATAAGTCGGGAGATCTTAGTGGCCATGGTAACAATGTGACATCATTATGTTGAAAGAGGTCTATTGTGACTCTTGCAACATGTGGTCGGGCATTATCTTGTTGGAAAGTTGGATCTGCCAGGGTGTCAAGATAGGGTAAAATATGGGGTTCTAGAACTTCGTGGATATGACGCTGCGCGTTCATGTTACCTCTGATGAAGATTAAAGGTGACCTGGAACCATAAGCTATAGCACCACAAACCATAACTCCAACAGTGTGATGAACATGTCTTTCAACAAAAAACTGTGGATTCCTCCTTTCACCACGTCGCCTTCTAACCCTGGCACGACCATCGTGCATGCCTAAACAAAATCGAGACTCGTCACTAAAGACAATACTGTTCCATTCCTGATCCCAGAGTGACCGTTGTCTGCACCACTCAAGGCGATTACGTCGGTGTTCTCGAGTTAAAGGGAGGACCCAGTGTGGCCGGTATGAAAACAAGCCAAAACTTCTAATTCGTCGGTAAACATTTCGCATGCCAATAGGTCTTCCGTGTTCTGCAAACCATTCATTTGCAATGGACCTGGTAGTGGAGAAACGGTCCCATAAGGCCAATAATATTAGGCGGCGATCTTCACGGTCTGTTGTTCTACGGCGGCGTCCAGTGCCCCTTGCTCTTTGCGTACGGCCTTCTCGAAGCCATGCCTGACAACACCTAACCACAGTGTCTACACTTCTTTGCACTCTAACTGCAATTGCCCGCAAAGAAAGTCCAGCTTCCCGAAGTCCCACTATACGGCCCCTATCAAACTCACTAAGTTGACGAAATCGTACAGGTCTCCGTACTCTAGGCATCGTAACCGATCGTAAAGGATGTCAAGAACCAAAATCCGCCAACGTTGATTCTTTACTGCGGCTGAAATATTCATTTTTAGAGCGTTAGCGAATTAAAAAAAGCACTATAAAAACCGGAATGTCCAACTGATAGGGCTGAAAATTTTTTCACTTGTTATTTACAGTAAGATAAATACATTCACCAACTTTTATTAAAATAAAACCATTTAAACTGGGTGTTCGGATTTATATGTCACTTAGTATATATACCGTTCCAAAATGTTTACAGCGCTTGATTACAAATATTCTAGTAAAACTTGTTTATTGTTATACAGAAGAGTTTCTAATAAATTTGTTATTTACGGCAATTTGAAATATCTGAACATGAAATATTATTATTAGAAAGGTCATCTTAACCGGATAGATTTGGTCGAAGAATTCCCGATACTTTCCCGATAAATACCAATAAAGCAGTTATTAGTATTTGGATATCTAGTTCATTAAAAGTCTATATTTTCTTTGTAGGTAAGTGTTGATTTTTTAGTACTGACTGTCCTAAAAAAGACGTCAAAATGACAGCCTCCAAAGGACGTCTTGTTATCGACATAAAAATGAAGACGTCATTTTTCACTCAATGACGTTTCCCACTAAAAGTGATCGAATATTGACGTCATTTTGGCGTCATAATGTTCACTGGGTATAATGTCCAACCTATAATAATTTATCCATGTTTATTAACAATAACTGAACATATAGTATTTATGTGGTATTGAACTTAAGTATACCCAGAGAAAAAAAGGTATGGCGATTTATTGGTATGTCACAAATTACCCAAAAGTATGCGCTAAAACTACAAATTTTGATGACAAACAGAGCAATGTCAGCAACTAAGCTTGGCTCTTTCTAATCTATCTAAATACATTGATGGAAAACATCCCACTTAGACCGCCAGAAATACGAGGTCTGTTCAAAAAGTATCGCGAATTTCATATTTTTTCAAGAATTATTTCCCCTTCAAAGTAATCCCCATCAGACATTATACACTAGATGCCATCTTTATCTCGTCAATCGTGACGTAGCGTCGTCCATTCATGGGCCTCTTCAGTTTCGGGAGCAAGAAAAAGTCACAGGGGGCCAAGTCTGGGGAGTCCGGTGGGTGAGGCATTATTGGAGTGTTGTTTTTGGCCAAAACAAGTAACGATGCATGAGCTGGGGCGTTATCATGGTGCATAAGCCAATTTTTGTCCTTCCACAAATCGGGGCGTTTCTGGCGGATTGCTTCTCGAAAACACATTTTGTACCACCGATACACGTTGCTTTTGTCCAAAGCAGCTTCGCCGTATGCAACAGTCTACATTTGGAATATGTCCGCGCACTTCAAGTTGTTTTTTATACAAAATTTAATAGAAATTCTTTGATACATTTTTTTGGAATGGACAAAAATCGGAGACCAGCTAAAACACGTCCACGCACAATAGCTATCAAAAACTGACCGAACTTTCAAAACGGCCGATATTAGTGAGGGTCAAGAGTACCAAAATTCAAAATTTGAACAAACTTCGTAGCCTAACCCCAACGCAATATTGCTAAAATTATACACACCCTGTATCATAATGGTCCGAGATATCTTTAAAGTCCTCTACGTTCGGCCTAATACCGTTAACATAGCCAATTTATCACCATTTCATCACTGCAGCGATTCACTTACCTCGTACTAGTTTTTTTTTAAGGATGCATGGCCTGCAGACCCATTTTTCTTTGACGACGCGTACCGGTCGAAAAAAAATAATGACTCGAGATTTTATTTGTCTGCGAGAGTAGCTTGGATATGACTGACACAGCTGAATGCACTGCTGAGCTTTCGTCGTGTTGCGCCCTTGCGCGGTAACACGATCAAGGCGATAACGAGATGTGTGATAGTTGTTAAGGTAGTCATACACGTGACAAATGTATTTGCGAAACACGAATTGGCGAAGTTTCCAGAGGTTCACAAGTCTGGTTAATGTCTCTCAACACGGCCGTCCTTAGGCCTCAAGCGAGTTCATACTTGCACTGAAGGTGGATCACATGTTTCCCTGTCTCCCCATTACTTAATTTGCAGACCTCGTACGACGTTTCGGCGTGTAACAACAGGGGATGAAAATGGAAATCTCGCAATGAAATTTTCTCTACGTAATTTCCTATTGTACGTAAGTGTTAAAATTCCGAGAAAAGATTCATGCTGGTCGCTGAATCGCTAGGAAATTCCGATAAACGCTCATTCATCGTTTTATACGATACATTTCGCGATACACTGGAAATGCGACATTTGATACTGCCATCGTTCAAACCAAGCCATTTTACGCGGAAGATATTCTATACATTCCTTTATCGCTGAAAGTCGAGAAGCGCGAAAAGTGTCTTCTTGTATGTGACAATTCGGCCACATTGTAACGCAACGAGCTAGGCACATATCAATTTCCCGGAGAAATACTACGAATAGACGCGTTTCTTATAGGAGAGACAGATATAGCCCAGTCATTGTTATGAGCGTTTACTAGTTCATGGTTGCAGATTATATACACCCAGTTTAAATGGTTTTATTTTAATAAAATTTTGTATAAGTACTTAATGAAGCATAATAAGTAAATGATAAAAATTTCAAAATGATTGCACTGCTTTAAAGCCCTTTGACCTTTAATAATGTGTGGATGTACCCTGATGTGTTACGCATTCTCCAACGCGCCTAGGCATGCTTCTGATCAGGTGGTCAATGTCCTCCTGTGGTATCTCATTCCAGGCAACCACCAACTCCTCTCGAAGTGCTTCTAGAGTCTGACGAGGACGTTGCAAATTGAGCAATCTCCTACCCATCATATCCCACACGTGCTCAATTGGGGATAAGTCGGGATATCTTGGTGGCCATGGTAACAATGTGACATCATTATGTTGAAAGAAGTCTATTGTGACTCTTGCAACATGTGGTCGGGAATTATCTTGTTCGAAAGTTGGATCTGCCAGGGCGTCAAGATAGGGTAAAAGATGGGGTTCTAGAACTTAGTGGATATAACGCTGCGCGTTCATGTTACCTCTGATGAAGATTAAAGGTGACCTGGAACCATAAGCTATAGCACCCCAAACCATAACAGTGTGATGAACATGTCTTCCAACAAAAAACTGTGGATTCCTCCTTTCACCACGTCGCCTTCTAACCCTGGCACGACCATCGTGCATGCCTAAACAAAATCGAGACTCGTCACTAAAGACAATACTGTTCCATTCCTGATCCCAGAGTGACCGTTGTCTGCACCACTCAAGGCGATTACGTCGGTGTTCTCGAGTTAAAGGGAGGACCCAGTGTGGCCGGTATGAAAACAAGCCAGAACTTCTCATTCGTCGGTAAACACTTCGCATGCCAATAGGTCTTCCGCGTTCTGCAAACCATTCATTTGCAATGGACCTGGTAGTGGAGAACCGGTCCCTTAAGGCCAATAATCTTAGGCGGCGATCTTCACGGTCTGTTGTTCTACGGCGGCATCCAGTGCCCCTTGCTCTTTGCGTACGGCCTTCTCGAAGCCATGCCTGACAACACCTAACCACAGTGTCTACACTTCTTTGCACTCTAACTGCAATTGCCCGAAAAGAAAGTCCAGCTTCCCGAAGTCCCACTATACGGCCCCTATCAAACTCACTAAGTTGACGAAATCGTACAGGTCTCCGTACTCTAGGCATCGTAACCGATCGCAAAGGATGTCAAGAACCAAAATCCGCCAACGTTGATTCTTTACTGCGGCTGAAATATTCATTTTTAGAGCGTTAGTGAATTAAAAAAAAGCAGTATAAAAACCGGAATGTCCAACTGATAAGGCTGAAAATAAAATTTTCACTTGTTATTTACAGTAAGATAAATACATTCACCAACTTTCATTAAAATAAAACCATTTAAACTGGGTGTTCGGATTTATATGTCACTTAGTATAGTTCGTGGTTGCAGATTGTAGATCTTACTGGTGAAACTGATATCTTGCGATCAATCAGTATCACATCAGATCAAAAAAAGTTGCGAAATCGAGGAAGAGTAGAGATGGGTCACGTCGTTCCATTTAGTGATTCGATTTAATGATTCCCCTTAATTCCGATTCAGATTGCCGCAATTCCAAAAAATACTATCAGTACCGTAATAGTGGATTCTTGATTCCGATGGTATCAATTTCTGAACGTCGATATTGCTTTTGAGTAAGAATGATCTATCTGTTGTGCGATAGCCATCTATCCCTAGCTTATCATTGTCATATCCATACTGAATACAAGTATCTTGTATCTATTGTTTATCTCAACTGCATTTCTTTCTTGTTCAAAGTGATCCGAAAAATTATAAAACACTGTCACAGCGAGCTGTTCTCAGCTGATATGTGTTCGGTCCTCACATTTTGCACACTCAATTCCAGCACCTGGTTTATATGAGTAGCCGATATATCCTGAGCAATATTTATATCAATACACGATGTCCTCAATGTTAGGACTGTCCTTTACACGGCGTATAGAACTTGTCAATGAGCAGTTTTCTTTTGATAACATATACACCAAAGTCTTACGATTACCGAGATGTTTGGCTCTGCATCATAAACCAAACCTAATCCGATCACGCAGATCAAACGTGAATCCAGCCGCGTTGACAAGCAGAACGTTTACACATCGGTTCTAAAGAAGCAAAGCAATGTAGGAGCTGTCCATATTATTTTAATTCACGGCGAGTGTCTTCGAAATGCTACAGAGGCTTCGCGAGAGCATGCAGATCGTTTTTCAAGATTCTTCGTGTTTTATTTTTTTGTTTGTGGTGAAATGAAATGTTCAGTGTATAAAACTGAGGTCAATAGGATTGATGATCTAAACTGATGCTTGGCTACATGTGTCTTTGAATTTATCACAGACCTGGTTTATATGAGTAGCCGATATACCCTGCGCATGTTTATATCTATACGCGATGTCCTCAATGTTAGGACTGTCCTTTACACGGCGTATAGAACTTGTCAATGAGCAGTTTTCTTCTGATAACATATACACCAAAGTCTTACGATTACCGAAATGTTTGGCTCAGTATCATAAACCAAACCTAATCCGATCCTGCAGATCAAACGTGAATCCAGCCGCGTTGGCAAGCAGACCGTTTACACATCGGTTCTAAAGAAGCGAAGCAATGTAGGAGCTGTCCATATTATTTTAATTTACGGTGAGTGTCTTCGAAATGCTACAGAGGCTTCGCGAGAGCATGCAGATCGTTTTTCAAGATTCTTCGTGATTTCTTTTTTTGTTTGCGGCGAAATGAAGTGTTCCCTCTCGAAACACCATCCTTCGTTGGGTTGAATCACTTCGCAGGCGTGGTGAACTGATCAACAGAAGACCAAGAGGAGCGCCGCGAACAGTTCGAACTCCCGAAAATGTTGAACGCGTTCGACAGGTTTTTCTTTGCAGTCCGACTCGATCTGCCCGGAAACATGCTGCTGCACAATTTTGCATAGGGATCTCCGCTTTCAACCCTACAAATTGGCCATTGTGCAACAGTTACAGCCCGGAGATTATGCACAACGAATGATGAATGGAAGCACTGATCGATCAAAATGATAACCTCATTTTGTTGAGAGAGCGATGTTGGAGAGAGTCTACGCGAACTTCCAAGAACGCCTCCAGCACTGCATCAACGATTTCGGCCACCACATGCCTGATGTGATTTTCCACACTTGTCTGTCTCAAATGATATTTCCTTGTGATTCTGATTCCATCAATAAATTTGTTTTCGAGTAAAAATTAACTATTTTATGATTGTTTTAAAACCGAAGGTATATAAAAAAGAACTTACCGCTGAAGGTCAAAATCCCATAAAAAAAATGGAAGACGTAGCACCCAAACTAAAATAACTAAACTTAAGTTACAAAAATTTTTTTTTTAAAACCGTCCATCCTCTCTGCCGCACCCTGTATATACAAATACGATTAAACCTTTATTTGAAAATTACATTTCTTTGTGAATCATCTATCGAAGGCCGTTCGATGACATTTCCGCGCCTTATTGCCACATTTTTTATTGTTAATGAATAATGTTGGAATGGTATAACATTCTTGTATACAACAGAGACGTAGATGTTAGTTTTCAGCAATATACAATAGAAATCGAAATTAATTTTATTGAAAAGCGATAATCAATTGTTGCTTTCGCGATAGGATTGATGTTACAGCTGTTAGAATATTTTAGATGTTATACTGGGGACCCGCAACTACTCTAAGGAACTTATGACGCCTTTTTAGAAGAGAGCAAGATCGCCAAGCGGTCGTCAACGCAAAATGATCCCGAGACTGTTGGTTAGAGAAATGTCATCGATCAGAATGGACAATGTATACTAAGTGACATATAAATCCGAACACCCAGTTTAAATGGTTTTATTTTAATAAAAGTTGGTGAATGTATTTATCTTACTGTAAGTAACAAGTGAAAAAATTTTCAGCCTTATCAGTTGGACATTCCGGTTTTTATACTGCTTTTTTTTAATTCACTAACGCTCTAAAAATGAATATTTCAGCCGCAGTAAAGAATCAACGTTGGCGGATTTTGGTTCTTGACATCCTTTACGATCGGTTACGATGCCTAGAGTACGGAGACCTGTACGATTTCGTCAACTTAGTGAGTTTGCTAGGGGCCGTATAGTGGGACTTCGGGAAGCTGGACTTTCTTTTCGGGCAAAGAAGTGTAGACACTGTGGTTAGGTGTTGTTAGGCATGGCTTCGAGAAGGTCGTACGCAAAGAGCAAGGGGCACTGGACGCCGCCGTAGAACAAGAGACCGTGAAGATCGCCGCCTAAGATTATT